GATTTACTTGGGGGTATTGGAGGAGGGGGTTCTGTGTGGGGGGTCCATAGTAATGAAGCATCCTACCTCAAGGAGCCCTGGTTTAGCAACCCTCGTACCACATCAAGTTATATGCATGAGGGAAAGTAGGTTGATTCAAGTATTCAACTATTAATTCCACTCGCAATTCTCACCTACAACCCATATGAAATTTTGGTTTCCAATTTATACTTTAGTATACTGTATACATATACAAGTACATCATGATTCTTTATATCAGAGAGGGAACTTGTAGTGATTAGCATGGCATACCTGAAGCACTGCAACAGCAGAGCAGCTGCATGTGTACGAAACAGTTAGTATGAAGTTTAAATTTACAGATACATGCACTATGTGCACTTGCAGTGAAATGTTTTCAATATTATGGAAATATGCAACAGTACCAGAGGCAAAAAAACTGATTCGAACTTCGAAGTAAATACTAAATGGATTATTTAATACAAATACTCAAATTCTTCCTTGAAAATTCAAACAGAGTGCCCTTAAAATTTTGCATGTACCAATATTAACGAGTTGTGAACAGGTCGGCCATCAGAGTAATGTCCAATACACGCATCTGATGTCTGATGGTGAAGATGGTGTACGGTGGTGTATGATGGTTGAAGTGTGTCAGATGGTTGTCAGATGGTGCAGATGGTACAGATGGTGTATGATGGTCGAAGTGTGTCAGATGGTTGTCAGATAGTGTATGATGGTGTATGATGGTCGAAATGTGTCAGATGGTTGTCAGATGGTGTATGATGGTGTATGATGGTCGAAGTGTGTCAGATGGTTGTCAGATAGTGTATGATGGTGTATGATGGTCGAAGTGTGTCAGATGGTTTTCAGATGGTGTATGATGGTGTAGGGTGGTTATACAGAGAAGGGTTGTCAGATGGTGAAGATGGTACAGATGGTGTATGATGGTCGAAGTGTGTCAGATGGTTGTCAGATGGTGTATGATGGTGTATGATGGTCGAAGTGTGTCAGATGGTTGTCAGATGGTGTATGATGGTGTAGGGTGGTTATACAGGGATGGGTTGTCAGATGGTGAAGATGGTACAGATGGTGTATGATGGTCGAAGTATGTCAGATGGTTGTCAGGTGGTGTATGATGGTGTACGATGGTCGAAGTGTGTCAGATGGTTGTCAGATGGTGTATGATGGTGTAGGGTGGTTATACAGCGAAGGGTTGTCAGATGGTGAAGATGGTACAGATGGTGTATGATGGTCGAAGTGTGTCAGATGGTTGTCAGATAGTGTATGATGCATGGTGTATGATGGTCGAAGTGTGTCAGATGGTTGTCAGATGGTGTATGATGGTGTATGATGGTCGAAGTGTGTCAAATGGTTTTCCGATGGTGTATGATGGTGTAGGGTGGTTATACAGGGAAGGGTTGTCAGATGGTGAAGATGGTACAGATGGTGTATGATGGTCGAAGTGTGTCAGATGGTGTATGATGGTGTATGATGGTCGAAGTGTGTCTGCAGATGGTTGTCAGATGGTGTATGATGGTGTATGGTGGT